CTATGTTGCATTTCAAGAACAATTAGACAATCCAAAGGAAGATCAACAGGTATAGAATCCAATGGAAATTGAAGCCAACACAACCATCTTAATCTTGTAGGGAAATTTGGATAACATCCATCCAGTCGTACATGACTAAGATGGAGTAGTTGTAAATTACGCATCCTTTCAAATGCATTGGTTTCCAAGACGGTCTCATTTGTGTTTATTGGTCTGTTTGCAAGATGCATACGCATATCCAGGGCAAGACCTTGAATTGTTTGTGTACCCTAACAGAAAAAAAAAAAAGTTAAAACATTTATATGGATAATTTTCACAAGGAGAAATACATACATAGACATAAAAGGCATGTTTCTTACATTTTTTTCCCTCAGTACTTCGAAAGAATCCTTATGGCGCCATAATCTACTACGTTTTCCAGACTCTTTTGATTCGTGGCAAACAATTTCTCTTCCCATGTCACGGATCATGTCATGCATTTTCACATTGTTGCATCCATCAACTGTCACCAAGCATTTATCGATGAGATTTTGAATGCCAACAATTGTATAGAAATCACATCCATCGAGTATTCTAACAATGTGGCTGTTGTTCCTTCCTATTAGGAAACAAGCAATGTGGAGGAATAATTCCTGGTCATGGTCATCTTGTAAATTGTCATAGCTTATTCTTAGTTTATTCATGATTTCACCATTAGGGATAACTTTTAGCTTCTCCAATGCACTTTCCCATACATCTATACTTTCCCCTGACAAAGAAGACCCCAAAACTTCTAGAGCTAATGGAAGTCCGTCGCAGTAGTGTACAACCTTTTTTGAATATTCCATGTAACCTCTAAGGGGATGATCCTGGCGAAAAGCATGCCAACTAAAAAGCTCTAAAGACTCATTGTAATACAAAGTTCCAACTTTTGTGCACCTTTGTAACTTGATGTGCCTTTAGCAACCTTTCACGCCTAGTTGTTATAAGTATCTTACTTCCCGGATAAAACCGATCTTTCATCTCTAGTACTGCATCTAATTGGTCCATATGGTCCACATCATCAAGAACAAGAAGCACTCTTCTAGAGCTTATGGCTCTTTCAATCTTTCTTAGTCCCTCACTAACACCATGTATTTTCACTTCTCTGTCGTTCAAAATATCATAAAGAAGTTGCTTTTGTATTTGAACTAAGCCATTTGGTCGATTTGCTGTTTCGCTGATATTTTCAATGAAACTACTTCCTTCAAAGCTTCTAAAGTTTGAATTGTAAACATGTTTTGCAATGGCTGTCTTCCCTATTCCAGACATGCCATACACAACTAGTATACCGACATCGGTTGATCCATCTTGTAACCACAAATTGATGTCTTTGACTTGAGATTCGACTCCAATTAATTTTGGTACAACGCTCAATGGTGTGCGACTTAACTTGCCTCCAATCACTTTAACAAGTTTTTCAATAAACTTTGACTCATACCTAAGAATTTACAAACAAAATGAAAAATAAATCAAACATGTTATGTCTCACAGATGTATTGGATGAATGAATAATGAATTGGGGAATTTAGATAATTAATAAATCAAACAAATGTTGATGGCCTTTACTTAAAAAAGAATTAAAAGGAATACAGCACAGAAAGTACATACCAACTTTTTTCCACACCTGCTTTTGAAACATTTTAAGCAACAGGAAACCATTAGACTAACATGGAAAATGACTAATCCTTAAGTTTATCCAAGTGTGATTTCTTTAAGTTGACCTAAATTGGGATAATTATTCACTACTGAGGTTGAATAAAAACTTATAAAAATCAAGGTCCCTACGGATCATAGTATCAAATTAACTGAAGAAAGAGAAGAGAAATGGACAAAATGAAAGTTACCCATCAGCTTGATTTTGTAAGACCATGCCTGCTAGGTCTGCAATCTCTGCAAGTGCCTTCCTCCATCCCTCCACCTTTTCCGGCATATAAGACTCAGAAGTACCCACATTTGAGCTATTCTCAAACCCCATTTCAGCACTATTTCTTCTGCTGAACAAGCCGTAGGACACGGCAATGCCGACGAAGATAACGTGAATGAGCTCCCAGAACTTGGTGAGGATCGTATGGTTGATAAATTCGGGAGCTTGTGAGGGGAAAAGTGGAAGAACGACGATGAAAACGGCAAAGATTAGAGCTTTAAGGAGAAAGTGCATAGTGTAGGACTTACCGTGTCGAATCGGGTTTCGGTGAGCTTCTAGATTTGGATCGGAGAATGGGAAGTGGGGCTTTCTGCAGGGGATGGAGTCCGCCATTGATGAGCAGTTGAGCTTCTGCGGAGGTTTTGGATTTTGTGTGAAGCAAAGGAAGACTATGAAAGCAAGGAAGAAGAAAGAGTGGAAAGAAGTGTGTGAGGAGAGGGGAAAGGAATTTAAGAAGTAGGGTGTCGATAATTATGACCGTTTGGCTAGAATGACGATATTGACCTTCTGTTTTGTTCTGATTTACCGGATTTTGTGGAGTGGTGATCTTATATGTAGGGGCTTGGAGGTCATTTGATCAAAGAACAAAACAAAAGCAATTTGGTGGAACAATGTAAACGACACCGTCTTGATTGAAATAAAAGCAATTTGGTGCAACACAAAGCTCATTGAGCACCTAAGCAAATAGCAATGCAAACTACTTGAGTCATGGGCACACAAATTTGATCATACACATCTCGGAAGAATTTTTCTCTTATGCTTTTTAAGCGCTTTTTTTTTTTTCTTGTACAGGACAATGAAAGATAAGCGATTTTTCACATTATGCTTTTCCTCCAATGTTCATTCTGTTACATCGAGTCGTACAGTTGAATAAATCTAAAAATAATTAATAGACAGAAACAAATCACTACCTAATGAAATTGAAATTTTTGCATGTATATGCGAACCAAAATCATTTAACATTAAATTGAATTGTTACTTAGTTTCATTGGTTGCTTTTTTTTTTTTTTTTTTTTTTAAGCGTGAGAGGAACAACATTGATCAAAGCATATGTGTTTTACTGACTATTTATTGGATATTTTTAATGTATAAAAATGTTCCTATTGATAAAGGTTTTTTTTCTTTTTTTTTTTTTTGACAAAACAAAAAATAAAATATTTTTAATTTTTTATGGATATTTTTATAGGAAAACTGATAAAAAGGGCTTGAAAAGTTTTAGTTTTAATAAAAAAAACCATGTTATAAGTTTTGTTTAATGATTAGTACAAGACCCATATTAAAGTAACCCAACTAAAAATAGCCCAACTATAATAAATTATGATTTGTCGATTTCACCTCAAACTTTTTAAGGTTGAGTTTCAGATTATCATCATTAATGGAATTCATCATTGTTTTGCAGAACTTCTTCTTTTTCTTTGAAATAAAAATATAGATCCTCATGCTATTTAATTTATATTTTGTATTATTTTGTTGAAATGTAATCGTCGTTATTATTCATAGTGTATTCGAGGTACTGTTTTTCAATTTTTCTTCGTCAGTGGAGATCATCGTTTGTTTCTCTAGAAAATAAATTTGAGATGTGCATGTTATTCAATAATAATGACGGGGTCACTGTTTCTGGACTGTAAAAATAAATTGTTTTTTGGATTTTAAGTAACATTATTTTTGGAATTTAAGTCATTGTTTCTGGAATTTAAGTTACAGTTTCTAGAATCTAAGTCACTATTTCTGTATCCAAATGAAATAGACACACTGTTTCTTACATGTAAGCTAGAAAAGAAATAATGAAATTCACTGTATTTGGATTCAAAGAAAAATAAGCACTCTATTTCTTAAATATAATCAACTGATGAATGAAAGAAAAGAAACCGTCTATGTTTTAACATTTGACCGTTTCTTTTCTTTCATTATTTATGAAATCCAAGTCACTGTTTTTGGAATTTAAGTCACTGCGTTTGGATTTTTGTTCTTTTCTTTCCAGAAACAATGTTTGTTTGTGCATAGACAAAACCAACACTGTATCTGATTTTTTTTTTTTTTTCAAAAACAGTGTTATGTTTTGGAAAATGAGTTGGTTGGGTTTGAATTGTTAATAATGAAATATTTAAAGTTTGACAAGATAAAGGCGTTGTTGAAGATAAAAAATTTGAACTGAGTAACTAAATAGATTTTTCACACTATTTATTTACTAATTTAACAAAAATTTAGACAATCAAATGGTCTGAATTCAAGGCCATATTTGGGCCGACCTAGGATCCAGCCCAATATACAGTTTGGTCCACCTGCCGTGTCACTTTCTCGGGAACATGTTTCCTCAAGTCTTTTCCAAATGCCAGGTGAGAAAATCAGAGAGAGAGAGAGAGAGAGAGAGAGAGCAGAATCGAACAAAAATCTCGAAAGATCGAGAGCTTATCAAACAGTATCACTCCAAATCCTTTCCCCTTTTTTACATACAATTTTGTGGACAGCCCCTTAATGATTTGAAAATTACCCAAAAACCTTGACTGCTTGATCCGTTTTTCATCTAGGTACAAGACAGTCGAAGCTCTAAAAACTGCTCTCGAAGGCTCGCCTCTCAACACCAAAGACGAGCGCTGCAAGGTTTGTCAGTCGATGGAATAGAAAATTAAATTGCAAGTTTAGAACTTTACTCTTCTTTTCTTATCGTTTTTCCAGTTGTTTTCTTGGGTACCAATCAGAATCGTCACCCTGTGTTTAATTATAATTCAATTGGTCTGTTTGGTGTGGAATGAAAGAAAGTGGTGAGATTTATTTTTTTGAGTTTTGCAGTCTGCAAATTGGATAATGGTGCATAGAGCTATTGTGGCTATAAAAGATGTGGATGCAATGTTTTCTTCTTTGGATCCCGAGTACAATGACATTCTCATGAAGTTTGTTATATGTACGGTTTTGGTGCAGTGTCATATAAGCAAGTATTCTACCCCAAAGTTTTAGAAAATATTAGGTATGCAAAGTTTTAGACTTGAACCACTTTACAAGAAGCAAGTTACAGTGGAGAATGGAAACCAGCATCGATTGATTGCAAGATTTGAGCTACGTCTAACCTGAAGTTTCTGAAACTCTTGCCTGGTCCTGTGTCTGGAAGACGAACCTCGGCTAAATTGTTAACAAATTACACAAATGTTTATAAAGAATCGTCATTCATACCGACAGCATAATTCTCCGTATGCTTTTATGAAACATGATTAGGCTACAAACAAACGAGCACATCTTACCAATCACTCTTTGTCTAAGCTGTATGTTCACCGGTCTCATATGTGGTTTGCATCCGTTTCCTGCTTAATCTCGTAGCTATCAAACATATGAGAAAGATGGCAGGCAAAAGGGACATTTTGATAGGATTATCAGCACGCCGGATGTAATAAATGTATTGAATTATCGAGCAAACACACTGAGCGATGCCTCCGACTAACGCAAAAAGTTCAATATCAGAACCAAAAAGCATGTGACATCCCCTCTTCCCCCATACCACATTTTTTTTCATGCCCTTGTAAATCAGCTCCCATATGCAAGTGAGCAGAGCTGCAAAAGCCAAGAGCATACCGAACAGCGCATACCGAGGCTCACTTGGGGACGAAGCCTGATCACAAGCAGCTGATAAAATCTCCATGCAAAGGCTAGTGGCTAAAAAGATCCACTCTGCTGAATTTGTCTGCATAATAAATTAGCAATGAATGAGTTCAATTAAAAATTAAGCGATCCACCAACAATTCCGCAAACGAAAAGGCTAAACTACATTTTTGTCCCCCAAATTTAAACGGAGTTCACTTTGATTTCTCAGTCATACCATGTAGTTTACCCATTTTTGTGGGATTAATTCAAGAGGGATTATATTCACACACTCCTTCCCCACATCCTTTTAATTTTTTAATATTTTTTAACATACCACTAGCACTTGATAGAAAAATATTAAAAATATTAAAAGGGTGTGGGAAAAGTAATTTGGGTGTGTGAATATAGTCTCCCTTAATTCAATACCATGTTGTTAATTAATAAAACATGTCCAAAATCACATTATCTCCACATGGTTTGACAGAAACATTGCAAGTTGGTTACATCAAAAGTTATAAACTGAAGAAAATTGTAAAACCCCGAAAGAAAAAATGACTAACATGTAGTTCCATTTGATCAATGCCTAAATATGAAGGAAATATGAAGCAAAAATGACTAACATGTAGTTCCATTTGATCAATGACTAACATGTACTAGAGTGCATGGAAAAGAACTCACGATAGTTGAACTTCTTTGTTGCCATAATGCACTTAATGGAATTCCATCTGCTTCAAGAACTTTCAAAGACCCCATCTTCTTTACAATCTCCACTGTTAACTCATCAAGATTTGAGCAACCAGATAAAATGAGTGTTTCAAGTGATTCAAGCAAACACATGTTCTTCGGAAGCATCCTAAGATTCTTGCAATCCTTCACGTTAAAGGACACAAGTCTCTCCAAGTTTCCAATGGATTCATGAACATCAATCAGGCTTGTGCAATCTACAAGAATCAGTTCTTCTAGATTGGGGCAAAGTGAGAAGTCCATTATTTCAGTGAGGGCATGGGAATGGCTGACGTCAAGGATCTTCAACGATGGAAGAAACTGTGTAAAATAAAAACAAAGAAAGAAAAAAAATGTGGGAGAGTTAAGTTTAACATATGCAATTGGTCAAAAAATAAAAAACTGAATTGAAAATGCGTAAACATACTTTTGTTCCTTTCCAGACTTGTCTCAAACTACTGTATTGCATTTCAAGAACAACTAGACACCCCAAAGGAAAATCAATTGGTATAGAATCCAATAGAAATTGAAACCAACACAACCATCTTAATCCTGTAGGGAAATCTGCATAACATCCATCCAGTCGTACATGACTAAGATGGAGTAGCTGTAAGTTGGGCATCTTTTCGAATGCATTGGTTTCCAAGATTGTCTCATTTGTGTTTATTGGACTGTGTGCAGGATGCATACGCATATCCAAGACAAGACCATGGATTATTTTTGTACCCTAAAGGAAAAAAACGGAAACGTTAGTATGTATAATTTTCACAAGAAGAAATACATATATAGACATAAAAGGCATGTTTCTTACATTCTTTTCGTTCAATACTTTGAAAGAATCCTTATGGCGCCATAATCTACTACGTTTCTCAGGCTCTTCTGATTCTAGGCGAACAATTTCTCTCCCCATGTCACGAATCATGTCATGCATTTGCATGTTGTTGCATCCTCCAATTGTCACCAAGCATCTATCAATGAGATTTTGAATGCCAACAATTGTATAGAAATCACATTCATCGAGTATTCTAACAATGTAGTTTTTGTCCCTTCCTATTAGGAAACAAGCAATGTGGAGGAATAATTCCTGGTCATGCTTATCTAAACTGTCATAGCTTATTCTTAGTTTATTCATGTTTTCACCATTAGGAATAACTATTAGCTTCTCCAATGCATTTTCCCATACACCTATACTTTTCCTTGATAAAGAAGAACCCAAAACTTTTAGAGCTAATGGAAGTCCGTTGCAGTAGTGTACAACCTTTTCTGAATATTCCATGTAACCTCTAAGGGGGTGATCCTGGCCAAAAGCATGCCAACTGAAAAGCTGTAATGATTCATTGTAATCCAAAGTATGAACTTTGTGCACCTGTGTAACTTGATCTGCCTTTAGCAACCTTTCACGCCTAGTTGTTATAAGTATCTTACTTCCGGGATAAAACCGATCTTTCATTTTTAGTACTGCATCTAATTGGTCCATATGGTCCACATCATCAAGGACAAGTAGAACTTTTCTAGAGCTTATGGTGCTTTCAATCTTAATTATTCCCTCACTAATAGTTTGTATTTCCACTTTTCTACCGATCAAAATATCAGAAAGAAGTTGCATTTGTATTTGAACTAAGCCATTTGGTCGATCTGCTCTTTCTTTGATATTTTCAATGAAACTAGTTCCTTCAAAGCTACTAAAATTTGAATTGTAAACATGTTTTGCAATGGTTGTCTTCCCTACTCCAGACATGCCATACACAAGAAGTATACCAACATCACTTGATCCATCTTGTAACCAAAAATTGATGCGTTCGACTTGAAATTGGATTCCAATCAATTTTGGTTCAACACTCAATAGTATGCGACTTAACTTGTCTCCAATCACTTTAACAATTTTCTTGATAAACTTTGATTCGTACCTAAGAATTTGCAAACAAAATGAAATATGAATTGGGAATATTAGATAATTAAAACATATGTTGATGGCCTTTGTTTAAATAAGAAAAAAAGAGGACTGCTGACAAAATTAAATTGAAAAAACAAAAGGAATACAGCGTATAACTTATACGAACTATGGACAAATATCACATCCTAATTTTTTTCCATACTACTTTCGAAAAAATTTAAGCAACTGCAAATGAATAGACTAACATGGAAAAAGACTAATCCTTAAGTTGATTCAAGTGTGATTTCTTTAAGTTGACCTAAATTGGGATTATTATTCACTACTGAGATTGAATTAATAAATATATAAAAATCTAGGTCACTACGGATCATACATCAAATTGACTCAAGAAAGAGAAGAGAAATGAAGATAATGAAAGTTACCCATCAGCTTGATTTTGTAAGACCATGCCTCCTAGATCTGCAATCTCTGCAAGTGCCATCCTCCATACCTTCACCTTTTCCGGCGACTGATTTTTCTGGCTTATAGCAAATGCTTTTCCAACACTTCCTGTCTGCTTCCTCACGTGGGACGGATCGACATCGTAGAAGACTGGTAAAACTACATGGTCCAAGGTGGCCTTCTTGCGTTCAAGGATCAGCACAAGCTCATCAAGGCACAATCTGGATGACGCGTAATCTTTCGAAAACACGACAATAGAAGCTCGTGACAGCTGGATCGCTTTCTGCAGTCCTAGCTTTATATCTTCTCCTCTCACGAGTTCATCGTCGTCTCGGAACGTGAGAAATCCTGCGTTGTTCAAGGCTGTGTAGAGGTGGTTGGTAAAAGTCTTGCAAGTGTCTTCGCCCCTGAAGCTCAAGAACACGTCGTATCGGTAACCCTGAAAAGTGTTGGAATCAGAGGAGGTACCGGAAGATGGTCTCACAAGAGCCATTGATGTGGATCGATGGACAAACAGCTCTTTGCTAGCTGCATTGCAAGTGTCCGTGTGCAGGGGAAATATTTAATTGGTATCCTATGTATCTTTTTTTTCATTCAGACTTCCTCCTCGATTCCAGCGTTTTTTTCTTACCTAATTCACACTTGGCAGCAATGATGCATGCCTTTCCACTAAAAAATTATTAAAAAAACAAAAATATGGAACATGCCAAAAAAAAAGAATAGAAAAAAGGAAAAAGAAAGAGAGAGAAACAAAAGATGAGCATGGATTATGAGAGAGAGCGTCTGTCACCAGAAAAAAATAATTAAAGAACACAATATCATGCATCTGGAACAGTTCTCCATCACTGTTCATCACATCTTTCCTTTCTTCCGCGCATCGTTTCTCGCAATCCCTCCGATTTTTGCCCACGCGTACCTGTGCTCTTTCCTATTGCTTTGCTGTCAAACGGAGCAGACAGAGGAAAAGATGGATGCCTTGCAGTTGCCCAATGGCAGTAACCAAAGCCCATTCCTCGAAAAAAAGATAATAAATGCCCGGTGATAGAAATATATATATATATATATATATATATATATATATATATCAGCATGTTTTGGTTTACACACACATTATGCCATGTGTTGATCATCCTCTTCCATTTGAGAGACAGATAGAGGAAAAGATGGATGACTTGCAGTTGCCTGGTAGCACTAACCAAAGCTCATTTCTCGAAAAAAGAGATAATAAATGCGAAGTGGCAGAAATATATATATATATATATATCTATGTATGTATGTATGTATAAATATATATATGGCAGGGCATAAAAGATAGTCCCAGGTCATAATGCGAGGTGGGAGAAAAACAAAAAGATAAAATATATATATTATATTGGCTAGGGCAAACCACGTGTTAATGATCCCACGCATTTGGCTTTTTAGCTCTTCGCTTTTATTTTTCTTTTCTTTTCTGCACGTTTCGTCTCTCATTTGTCTTTCTTTTTGGTTTCGACTTCCGCCTTTTCTCCCCTCTCTGTGTCGCTACTTGCAAATTTGGGTTTGTAAGCTCTTCTCTTTTATTTCTCTTCTCTTTGCTGCACGTTTGTTGTCATATTTTCTTTTCTTTTCTTTTCTTCTTTTTTTTAGCTTTGGGCTTATGTTTTTTCTCCTCTTTTGGTATTGCTGCTTGCAAATCTAAATTTGTAACTTCGGTGCTCAATCTGGGTTTCTAAGTTTGGTCCTCATTTTTGTTGTGCTTTTTGCTTTCGATTTTGTTTTGCTTTGGAGTTTTTGTTTTTCCTTTGCAATTGTGATGTTGTTTTGCTGTTTATGATGTTCTTTCGTTGGAGCGTGCATTTTCATGTTTTTTTTTTTGTTTTTTTTGGGAAACAGGTTCTGTCTTGAGGATTTCTGGCTGGAGTTCTTGCATCCTTTTGTCAGGTATTAAGTTTTTTTTACTTTTTCCTTTTATCAATTGATCTGGGTGTTATATCATACGTTTTAGTGTTCACGTCAATTTTTTCTTTTTCTTTTTTTGGCTGGTTGGTTTTACTTCTGTTTAGACTGTACTATGATATCTTTTAATATATCACGCTATATAAGTGTTATATATACTATATCAGGTGTTGTTATTGAAGTGGTGATGGTGATGCTTTTGTTAATATGGATTGTGTGTTGTTAAAAGTGAAGAAGGTGATGTTTCTCATAACCAAATAAGAACACTATTAAATTAATTGTTTTTCCTACTGCAATTTAACAACAATTCCCCCTTTTCTTATACGGATTTATTTGTGATACAACGTTTGTATTTGTATGTTTTGTTTTGTTAACTAGATTATACTATTTTGTACAGACCTATTTAATGTTGACTATTTGTTGAATCAAAATCATCTCAATGCTTAATCCAATTTGATAGGATCGACAAACGATTTTTTTTGTCTGATTGTATTAATCAAAAGAGGCTGACAACTTATGTAATAAATGTGTGTTTTTATTTCACTATTATTATTGAATAACTGATCTCGCTCAAAATCAAATTTCAATTACAGTTTTTTTTTATCCGTTTATAATATTTATAAAAATGCATATATTGTGACTGGTATTTTAAATCTCCTTGGCTGCACCGTTTATAAATTTATAAATATTTCGTTTCTATAGATTAAATGGAAAACGAAGGTCCAACTCCGCTTGATCAATTGGCGGCATATAAAAAGATTGTCAGAATAAAAGTACCTGTTTGTAGGATATGGAGACCAAAATACCCAGGCATGGGCGACAAATATACAGGCTTGCACTGTATATTGGTTGATGAAAAGGTTTGTCATAATTTTTTTATCAAATGACTTTATAAACGTTTGATCTTCTATGTTAAGAATGAATTATTATCTTTAAAGCGCATGACATAGTTTTTATACTGGCTGTGCTAAAGATCGTGTACAATTTATTTGAAAACTCTTTATTGTCCTGTTTTATATTCTCAAATCATACATTTGTTTTGCCATTTATCCTGTGCACTGCATAGCTTTTTGTACACATGTTCATTTCCTTTGAATTGTTACTTATAGTTGTTAATTCGCTGTTGCTATTTACGATCCATATTGCTATTTAATATTTATGATCTACACATAATTGTATGTTATTTCAACTATAAAATTAGGAACAATATGCTTACCCACACTGTTCTCATTATAACTTTTTTTTTTTCCTTAATTTTTTTTCTTTTTTATTATCAAGCAACAAGCTATCGAAGCATCTTCTACTGAAATGGACTATGAAGTAATAGTTCCAAAGATTGAAGCAGGCACTTGCTATGAGATCATGAATTTCCGTACTAACCATGCAAGGGCTCAGTATAGAGTTGTTCCACATGAGACCCAAATCGTTTTCACTTCGAAGACGGTTTTTAAGAAGTTGGCAAGTGTCTTTCCGCCTATTCCACGACACAGATTTTTCTTGCAGGATTATAACAAATTATATCCTCGGTTAAACAAATGTGATATCTTGACAGGTAATCATATACATAAATAAACATTTTAATATATGTTCATGCCTATTTTATTCAACAATTTCCTATGAGCTTACCAATTTGTTTGTTTGTTTTTTTTTTTTTTTTTTCAAATTTGAAGATGTTATTGGCCACCTCATTTCAGTCCAGCCTTTAGAACCAATACAGATCAATCAGAGAATTGAGGACAAATGTGATTTGGTTATACAAAACATCAGGTTATTTCGTGTTCATAATAAAATTTCAAAGCTTTTTACCTGTCAATTCCATTTCAATAGTCTAATAGTCATATTCTTCTATTAAAAATAGTTCCAATAATTTTAAATACAAAGATTTTCATGACTTAAAATTTTTTTTTTATCCTTTTTGGCTTTCGTTGTTTTACAGAAATGAAGAAGCTAAGATCACACTATGGTCATATGTTGCACATGCCTTTTCTGCTTTCTCATTAGAACAACTACACCAACCAATCATTATTGTTTTTACAAGCTTGAAGGTTAAACTGTTTGGAGGTATTTACTTTAATAAAAAAAAATTCTTTTTTTTTTTCTCTTTCTAATTTGTTTAGCTATTAAACTGGCTTTTATTTTGTTTCTCTACCCTTGCAACACCATGTTTGGTGATTTTATTTTATAAAGCGTATTCAAACATTGACTCCATTAATGTCTCATATCTTTACGTATATGCGTAAAAAAAAAATGTTAATTTATAATGTTACATAATTACAAGTGTAAATTAGCAATTTTTCTACACATCAATAAATACATTTCATTTAATCATGATCAAACAAAGCTTCTCACATAGAAAACAGTCAAATTGTTGATGAGAGGTCTAGATCATATTTGCAAAACGGATTTTATTACGAGAACAAACATATTGTATAGGTAGTTTTTCATACAAGAAACTTAATTTTCATGCTGCCCTTTTTGAGTTAGATATGATTTTATTGTGATACACTATTTAAAATCTATAAAACGATATTAAATTTTTTAACCTACGATTTGCAATTTTTGTTTGCCTGGATTAAAAACTATTTTAAATGTCAATTATTACATAACTTTTCTCTTTTTATATCTTGACTTTTGTTTAATGCACAGATTGCATCATCTTGAACAACACTGGTTCAACACTTTTCTCTTTTTATATCTTGAACAACACTGGTTCAACACTTTTCTTTATAGATCCAGACATTCCAGAATTGAATACATACAAATCACTGTGAGTCCATTCACTCTCATAGAATGATAATCATAGCGTGGTTATATATATATATATATATATATATATATTAAATTATTTT